CGAGTCCTGCCCCCAATAATGGCGGAACCAGGATTTAAACCAAGTCTGGCCTCACACCGGAAGTAGGCACATTTTCTCCTCCATGCCCACAACCATGTGGGCTTCTCTCTGACTCTTCCGTCGTCTTTCCCCATTAACAATCTCCTCTCCCGCATAAGGTGAACCTTTCCTTCTCCGCCCCTCATCAGGCCCTCATCATTTCATCTCTTGATTTCTGCCTCCCTCCTCAGCCTGGTTTTGCCAGTCGTTGCTTACAGTCCCTTGTCACAAACATGCTGGACTCTTCCTGCTCAGACCGCTTTCTTTTTGTCATCACAGGAGCCTTTGGCTCCACGTCCCCTACACACCAGCCTTGGAGGTGACCCCAGCTCACCCCTCCAAATCCGGCTCCCGCAGTTTCCCCCGTGCAGGTGAGCATGAGCAGCCCCTGGACCACTCCCAGCACATGCCTGGTCTTCCTGGGAGCTCCTGTCCTCCCTGGAGTGCCTCCCGCCCACCTGTAAATCCTGTCCCATCAGCTCCTCCTGGGGCACCTTGACTCATGCTGTTTTCTCTTGCTTTCCCTTTCTTTTCATTTTCGTTTTGTGGTGCTGGGTATGGAACCCAGGGCCACACTCCTATGTGTCTTCTTGACCACTTGTGTGTTCATTTCCAGAACCACATGGGTTGGCCCTGAATTGCTCCCTGAGAGACTCCCATGTTTCCCCACTGGGACTGCGGGCTCTTCAGGGCCCAGTGAAATCATCTACTTCTGGGTAAACGGTCCTCCCCTAATGCTTAGTGACTTTCTTTAAAATGCAGATGATACGCTGGGTTGGTGGCACACATGGGAGGCTGAGGCAGGAGGATCACTGAGAGCTCAAGGCCAGTTTGAACTATATGGTGAGTTCAAGGCCAGCCTAGACTACATAGTGAGACCCTGTCTCAAAAAAAAAAAATTGCAGCTGCCTATGTCCCATCTCAGACTTGCTAGGCCAGAATCTCTGAGCCTGGGGCCAAGTATATATAATTTCCTGGTAATGGTTTAAGTGAGGCATAATTCATCTACTATAAAATGTATCCTTTTAAAATACTCAATTCAAGCCAGGAGTGGTGGCACAGGCCTGTAATCCCAGCACTCTGGAGGCTGAGGCAGGAGGATCATTGCAGTTCAAAACCAGCCTGGCAATGGGAAGCTGGAGAGAAAAAGCTACAAAGAATGGCTTTCACCCCAGATAGCTCACTTGAGATGTTAGTAAGAATTGCCTCCTCAGTATTCT